CAGTGAAAGGTGAGATTATTCTTGTCAATTTTTCCTATTTGGTAGGTGTTTCTCGACTCCTACCCCCATTGACTTTGGTGGTTTACCTACCGGGTTCAAAACAATACATCTCTTTTTTAAATTAGGTTCTCAATGATTTTTTTAAAAGGAAATTATGTTCTCAATGAATTATTCACTTTATTATATTACCTCCGTCCCACTCAACTTTGTCATGTTGATGTTTGGTAAGAAATTAGAATAGTAAAAATACTGTGTAGTTGAGGTTTGTGCAGAGGAGAAAGAAATGAACAGAACAACAAATTTATTGATTTAAAAGGAAAGTGACAAAGTTTTTTGGGACAAACAAAAAAGGAAAGTTGACAAAGTCTAGCGGGACGGAGGGAGTATAAAAAAACATAAACAAAAAAAAACAAAAAAAAGAAACAAAAAAATTATTATAGTTATTAATGTTGTTTTAACTTATATAGCTGTACACATTCTAAGTTGCCGTTCACATTCTAGCATAGTCAACTTCCATTAATGCTTAGTTACGCGATGGACAGTCTTCGGAGAAAGTTGGTGCTTTTTTACGTGGTCCATTCTTCACTCATCAGTAGTTTTACGTCACAGTATCATTATTAATGCATCCCTCTGGATTGAAGTTCTTATGTGATGATAACGCAAAACCATCCAAAAGGACTTTAAATGTTGTTTACAAAGAGGTGTATATATTTCTACTTTTAATATTCATTTTCTTTTCTAATAAAACATATCATTGTGATATTTTATTTTTACTATATTTTTTTCTTTTAAATTATTCATAATGTATTGATTGCATCCCGTGCAACGCACGGGTCAGAAATCTAGTTAATCTTGAGAAACAAAGCAATAGCTGCCGCCTCCAAGATTGTGTAATGTTCATACTTCATACAATAGCATATATGATACTGTATATCCATATTATCTCAAAGATTGTATGGTTCTATAAAAAATTATAGAACCCTAGCATATATACCCATGTAATTATTTTACTTATTTTAAAATAGGACATTTCATATAATCCCATGCTAATAATACTCCCTCCGTCGCTCTAAGATTGTCTCATTTTACCTTTACGGGAAATCCAACCAAGATTGTCTCATACCAAATTTGGTAAAGTTTGTGTGGTTCTAAATCATTCTTACTTTATTTTTACTTTATCAATTTCGTCTCAACCACACAAACCCATTTTTCTTAATAATCGTGCCACCTTCTCTTGTCCCAGTCTTAGTGGGACGGGGGTAGTAATAATTATTATTATCTATGGTTTTTTTTTGGAAGAAATCGGCTCAAATTGATAACACATCATTCAGATAGTAGGTAAACCGACAAAAGATTCCTGACAACTGCCGACCCTCGAACCAGACTCAGAGTTTATCACCTCAACAGAAGCAATATAAATCGCTGATCCATTAATGGGCGCAACTGAGCCAAAGACGATTATCACAATCATTCCATCACCCCCATCGAAATACACAGTCTTACAACAGAACAAAATAAAGAAATTATAGTAAAAGAAATTAAATAGCAAAAAAAAAAAAACTCTTGCTCCTACTTCCAGAGAACCACTTCCAAACACATATCGGAACCTCCTATCTACTTCTGATACTCCGGCGGCGGTTCAGGAGGAGGACGAGACGACAATACTATAGTTTCTTCCTCACTCTTCCTTTTATTCATCACGATCTCTGTCAAGCCTCCACTTTCGCCACCAATTGCAGAAGACCTTGAATCCAGATCTGTTCCAGCTTTTAACCCCAAGCTTCGCCCATGACCCTTACTCGATGATGTCATCCTTTCACTATTGTTGTCTTTGTTCCTTGTTCGCACAAAAAAAAAACTCATCGCGGAAGAAAACCCCGAATCGAAAAACCGCCCAATCTATTAAATCGGCGGCAGAACTAAAACCCTAACTAGAGGGACAATGGCTGTTGTTACCTTAATTAAGAATTCAGGCAAAGGGAATAAAACGAGCAGAGACCGGCGAGCATCAGCGATCGTGATCGGCAAGCATCCGTCCAAGCATCTTACGCGCGGCGGCTAGGGCTTCACTCCGTTAGCAGAGGCGCTTATTATCTATGGTTTTAAAAGTATTACATAATACAGTAAGTATTATTTTTATTGTATTTAAAAAAATTGAAGAGAAAAATTTAACTTTCATTCAATAAATCAGTATTCAGTACATGAAGAATAAAAGGAGGATAAACATCGCAGCTCAAACAATCAAATGTAGAACAAGCCGCCTTAGCAAACTAATATGAGAAAAAGAGATATAGAAAACTCGAATTAATCTCTCTAATATCACCACCAATAAGAAATACTCCTCTTCTGCAATATCTCCGAAATAGCCCCAATAGAATCCGACTCCACATCATCCAATCCTATATTTTCACACCTGATCAGTTCGGCTTCTAGCGGAGACAAAATCCCCCATTTGAAACACCTGCTAAGAAGTTCCCAGTATAAGCCATCCCAGTCCACAAAGTCTATCCCTCACGGCCACATCCACATTTCGTTTTTATCCTGCCCGAAGAAGGTCTTCTCCAAGCTCAAACGATTGCCATTCCTTGATTTCCATTTCCGCTCCCATCTCGTTGCTGCGCCATACACCAGCCATCAACATACGGCGCAGCACTTGTTTCGGATCATCAGTCTGCACGTACACCATTCCAATTTCTGTTATTTCGTTCACACTTCACACCAAAGTCCCCAGCAACCCCAAATAAGCCTACACAACTCATCCTCCTCCTTAGCTAGCTCCAAATTCAGCCTGGACTTATTCCATGAATGACCGCGCCGGAGAACCTGTCCAATACCACCTAATCGCCTCCCATGCAGCCTCCTTTGCAACCTTGGGTGGTAACTTTGTTCCACCCCCACACATGAGTCCAGCCACAGATTCACCAACCAGGGCTCTATAACAACTACGAACAAAGAACTTTCCCGAACTCTCCCACTGCCAACTTAGTTTGTCGGGCACAGATCTAACGCTAATTGGGATGGATCCCTTTTATCAAATCGTCGACATCACGCTGCTTTAGGACATCTTGTAGAAGATCAGTATCCCATCCCTTTCCATCCTCATTCAAAAGATTCTGGACCCATGCTTACTCCAAACCCAAAAAAGGAGCTGATACAAGAAGTTTATGATGATTTTTTGTCAGGGCTCGGTCCAAATGTTAATCGCCGAACCATTTCCATCCCTCCAATAGTAACCTTTCTTGATAATCTCATGTGCCTTAATGATACTCTCAAGGGTTATTATCCCCCTTAGCAAATACTACGTAAAAGATTGATGGGTGCCCAACATCCACTTGGACAAAATAAAACCTGAGAGATAAATATTAAATTCCCTCTAAGCAATATATGTGACATTAATGAAAACAATCTTTGCAAATCAAACTCTTTTCATTGAGAGAATCCACAACAATCACATTATCTGACGAAATTCATACTTTTACCTAACAAATTCTTTTATAAGATTATACTTCAGACTCTTGGGCCTATATATGTGGTATATCATGTATGTACGTATAGACACACATACACATATAAGTATGTATCTATGTATTTTGGTAAAAATCGATTACATAATTTTTTGGTTCATTTTTTCAGTGAAGGTTTGTAATTTGGTGGTCTCAATGGCATTAAATCAAATAGCTCGAGAGCTTATTTGACCATTTTCCAATAGGCTATTATTACGAATGAGAAGATTAAAACTCCTCCAGATTTAGATGAAAACAATGTTGGACACTGGGGGGCGATCGCAATTTGCACGAGTCCATCCTATTGCACTCTTCTCATTACCAAAAATCACTAGTCTATCTTGCATAGACACATCTGCAATAAATGAAAAAATGTGATAATCCAAAGCAAGGATTCAGCTTTTTAATTAACTAATTAGTGTTTCATTCTGTATCATCCAAGAAATTGAATAGTTGAAAACTCATACCTTCACATATTTAGACTCAAAACTCACCATTTTGCTTTTCATTGCTTTACTTAGGATGGGGTGGGGGTGTTTTCAACTATGCCTATGAGAAGTCCACATTACGTGATATCATGTGACATTGGTGTCCAAGTGACGCGAGAGGCATCATAAACATCATCCCCAAGTAAGAGATACCCTACACCTCGTGAACTCAAGCAGTGGCCAACCACGTTTCTCACCAGACCAAGGTTCTTTAGCTGTGAGAGAATGTCGGTTCTTCCTTTTCCAAAGCCAAGTACCCCATCTGAAGGATGGCGAGATGGACTGTGTATCTGATCATATCCGCACCTGGCTCAAATAGGAAGCATGAAAACACCTAAATATGTCTAAATCTAAAACTCGCGGGCTTCATGAGATCAAGGAAGATACTGACCCGAGAGCCAGATGAAGTTTAACCACAACCCCACTGGTAAGATTAAGAGAAAAGACATCATTGAGCAAGACACCGAGAAATGAACCTCCATCAACATACTCAACCTCATAATCGCATTGCTCTAGAGTGTCACATTTATAATCAGCTAGATGCAGAGAGGCACAAAGGGGGTCCTTGCAAATCATAAGGTCATTGTTGGGCTTGTAGAAAGGGTGATGTGCCTGGGATTTGAAGGATTGAAATAGTTTACACATTAGGAAAAGCAAATATGAGGTATATGAGTATATCTATATCATGTTGTAGAAATATAATAAGACAGTTATGTTATACCCTTGTACAATGGACACAGGAAACATCAGATTGAAGCCAGGTAAGGTCACTTCCCGTATCCGGATCAAGAAAATAAGGCTTTGATGGGTTCCCAACATCCACTTGGACAAAATAAAATCTGAGAGATAAATGTTCAATTCCCTCTAAGCAATATATGTGACATTAATGAAAACAATCTTTGCAAATCATACTCTTTTCATTGAGAGAATCCATAACAATCAAATTATCTGAAGAATTTCATACACTTACCTAACAAATTCTTTTATAACATTATACTTCAGACTCTTGGGCCTATATATGTGGTATATCATGTATGTACGTATAGACACACTCATACACATATAAGTACGTATCTATGTATTTTGGTAAAAATCGATTACATAATTTTTTGGTTCATTTTTTCATTGAAGGTTTGAAATTTGGTGGTCTCAATGGCATTAAATCAAATAGCTCGAGAGCTTATTTGACCATTTTCAAATAGGCTATTATTACAAGTGAGAAGATTAAAAATCCTCCAGATTTAGATGAAAACAATGTTGGACACTGGGGGGCGATCGCAATTTGCACGAGTCCATCCTATTGCACTCTTCTCATTGTCAAAAATCACTAGTCTATCTTGCATAGACACATCTGCAATAAAATGAAAAAATGTGATCATCCAAAGCAAGGATTCAGCTTTTTATTAACTAATCAATGTTTCATTCTGCATCATCCAAGAAATTGAATAGTTGAAAACTCATACCTCCGATAATGTTGAAATTTTGCAGTCCTGCTTCGGTGCCGTTCAGAACTCCCATGCAAACATTGCCCTTTGACTGCCACAACACCATACAAGTAAGAGGATAAGATTTATTCGCTCGTTTGGTTTGGGATTTCAGAGGGAATGGAAGGGGATGATTTGATTTGATTTTTACCAACTGCTCATGTGTGTCTATATAATTTTTTAACTTTAGTTTATGGCCAACCATCTAAATGTAGAGATAATACTAATTTGATTAAGAAATATAATACCCCTCCTCCCCTTCCATCCCCTCTGAAATCCCAGAACCAGACAAGCCCTAAGAGAGTGTTAATTACAAGCACTTACTGAGATGATAAGATATGAGTCAGGGGGGATCTCAAACAGAGTTTTGGATTTCCATCCACCAGCAAAGCTGAGTGAGAAGGACTTGAAGTATTTCTTCACTTCGCTGATGCTCATGAAAGGCTTCCTTCCCGTCCAGCATAAGGGTAGTGTTGGGTCATCATCTGCTTCTTTTAGGGGCTTACCTCTCAGTTCTTTCTCCAGCTACGAGAACAAATGGTACCACCCATGGTCATGAAATGAAAAAGGAGAAGCTCTGGAGGAAGAACGAAGATCACAACTTACTAAATATAGTAAAGCTTCGTACGGTTGCGTATTCAAATAGCTAAAAGAGCTCCCGCTATCAAACACCACATGAAGATTCTTTACTCCGGTACTTTTACTGCCAAAAAGTAGTTCTGCAGGCCCTGGAGCATAGTGATTCCTGTCATTTTTACCTTCACATATTTAGACTCAAAACTCACCATTTTGCTTTTCATTGCTTTACTTAGGATGGGGTTGGGGTGTTTTCAACTTTGCATATGAGAAGTGCACATTACGTGATATCATGTGACATTGGTGTCCAAGTGACGCGAGAGGCATCATAAACATCATCCCCAAGGAAGAGATACCCTCCACCTCGTGAACTCAGGCAGTGGCCAACCACGTTTCTCACCAGACCAAGGTTCTTCAGCTGTGAGAGAATGCCGGTTTTTCCTTTTCCAAGGCCAAGTACCCCATCTGAAGGATGGCGAGATGGACCATGTATCTGATCATATCCGCACCTGGTTCAAATTGGAAGCATAAAAACACCTAAATATGTCTAAATCTAAAACTCGCGGGCTTCATGAGATCAAGGAAGATACTGACCCGAGAGCCAGATGAGGTTTAACCGCAACCCCACTGGTAAGATTAAAAGAAAAGACATCATTGAGCAAGACACCGAGAGATGAACCTCCATCAGCATACTCGACCTCATAATCGCATTGCTCTAGAGTGTCACATTTATAATCAGCTGGATGCAGAGAGGCACAAAGAGGGTCCTTGCAAATCACAAGGTCATTGTTGGGCTTGTAGAAAGGGTGATGTGCCTGGGATTTGAAGGATTGAAATAGTTTACTCATTAGGAAAAGCAAATATGAGGTATATGAGTATATCTATATCATGTTGTAGAAATGTAATAAGACAGTTATGTTATACCCTTGTACAATGGACACATGGAGCATCGCATTGAAGCCAGGTAAGGTCACTCCCTGTATCCGGATCAAGAAAATAAGGCTTTGATGGGTGCCCAACATCCACTTGGACAAAATAAAATCTGAGATAAATATTCAATTCCCTCTAAGCAATATATGTGACATTAATGAAAACAATCTTTACAAATCATACTCTTTTCGTTGAGAGAATCCACAACAATCACATTATCTGACGAAATTCGATCATACACTTACCTAACAAATTCTTTTATAACATTATACGAAGTACTTCAAACTTTTGAGCCCATATATGTGGTGTATCATGTATGTACGTATAGACACATTCATACACCTATAACTCTATAAGTACGTATCTATGTATGTGGACACATATATAGACACACACACACTTGTATGTGCATATTTACATATACATACATACATACATACATACACACACACACACACATAGGAGGAAAATGTTCAAGTAAGGTAGGCCTACGAATGTACTCCCTCCGTCCCAAAATTATTGTCCTGCTTTCCTTTTCGGTCTGTCCCGAAATAATTGTCTCGTTTCTTTACCTTCTTTATTTGGTAAACAAATCTACACCAAACATTGTCAAACAGTGTTAAATAGTGTTGCTACAGTGCCAAACAGTGTCGCTACAGTGCGAATCAGTGTCGCTACAGTGTCATTTTCTTAATCTATGTGAAAAACCAAACGGGACAATAATTTTGGGACGGAGGGAGTAATACTTAGGCCTCTTTCATTTGAGGTGCTTTCAGGTCGAATTTTTTGATGAAATTTGTGAGTATCTTCTCCATGAAGTGTAGACTATGCCCACCAAATTTAAGATTAAAATTCAATCGGAAAGTCGGTTAAATATTTTTTTTAAAATTGCGCAGGTTTTTATATATATAAAATGCAGTTTGTTTTCAATAATCTATTTAACCGACTTCCCGATTTTATTTTTTTGTGAAGTTTGGTGGACATAATCTACAATTCATGGAGAACATGCTCAAAAAATTTCATCAAAAAATTCGATCCGGAAGCACCTCAAATGAAAGTGGCCTAAGAATTACAATTATTAAGGCTACCACACTTGAACATTGTCCTATATATATAGGGGGTTGGGTTATAATAAGAAGACACCTTATTGTGTAAAATGAGAGACAATGACGTTGGAATAAGAGACGGGATGATTGCACACAAATATGGTGCGGCGCATAGTGCTGTATAGAAACTACACTCGCCAAAATCAAATAAGTGGACGGAAAGGTTAATATTGTAAAAACAGAGGCAACCTCAGAAGGTAATAAGATGCCGATTTGAATTTCAAGAGCTACTTACATGTAAACTCACGTATAGTGCGCCGCTACCCACTAATTCGAATAGAAAACTTTTAGAAAAAAGGTGCAAATAGGCCATGTATTAACCCAAAAAGGTCAAAGAAGGCCTTATTTAGGAGACTTTGTCCGGTCATCTCCATTTGGGATGGTTCCTGGCGGAATTTTTTGATGAAAATTTTTGAGCATCTTATTCATCAAGTCTAGTTTACTCATACCAAATTTCAGCTAAAAATTCAATCGGGAAGACATTCAAATGAATTCTTGAAAATAACTGCGCAGTTAGAAGCGCAGTTATCTTTAAGAATTCATTTGGATGGCTTCCCGATTGAAGTTTTAGCTGAAATTTGGTATGAGTAAACTAGACTTGATGAATAAGATGCTCAAAAAATTTCATCATAAAATTCCACCGGGAACCACCCCAAATGACGAAGGCCGGACAGAGCCTCCTAAATAAGGACTTATTTGACCTTTTTTGGTTAATACATGGGCCTATTTGCACATTTTCCCAAACTTTTATATGTCAACTTTTAATGTCAGTATTGGCTTTCTGTGGGGAAAATTGGGGGAAGCTAATGTTTTTTTGCCTGGCTTTCTTTCAAACTTAGCTTCTTTAAATTAATTTATAAATTAAACCGCATTGTCTGAGTATGCATTGTTGGATTGGTGTGGTTTTGCTGGGGGTAATTCAGTTGTATTGCCTTTGCTGAACATTAACGAGCATGAGAAAGTGAGATAAGTGCGCATGTATGTAACAAATGTGTGATACTCCTTCCGTCCCATTTATATTGTCCCGTTTTACCTTTTTGGGAAGTCCCACTTAAATTGTCCTATACCATATTTGACAAAGTTTGTGTGACTCTAAATCATTCTTACTTTATTCTTACTTTATCAATTAATATCAACCACACAAACCAACTTTTCTTAATAACTGTGCCACCCTCTTCCGTCCCAATATAAATGGGACGGAGGTAGTATAAATTAATTAAAAAACAGGGGGTTTATTGGCAAATTATTACGTAGTATACTGCAATGTTGACAATAATATATTAATATGCGAAAACAAGTGAAATGAAAAGTAGCGATAAACTGAAAAAGGAAAAGTAATTTAAATCCGTAAATAACAATCAATTTGGTAAATAGAGCAAAAAGTGAATGATAAGTGTGTATTTGACATCTATGTAGTAGCAGGTTTAGCTTGCACCACGGGTAAGGTGTGCAGAATTCAGGCACTTGTGCACACACTAGTGATTCATGTGCAACAGAATATTATTTTTATTAATATAATTACATACATGTGTTTTTAAGATTATGTAGCAAAGTGGGATAATATTGAATTAGTGCATTATCTATATTGTAAATGCGGAGTACTACCTCCGTTGTTAAATAAATGCAACATGTTGAATTTTACACTATTAACATGCTCTACTTTGACTACATTTTATTTATTAATGTATTAATATATTTTTTTTGAAAAAAAATATTGTTAAATTTGTCGGGAAAACTGTCAAATAGGTCCTCGAACTTTCAAAAAAAAATCAAATAAGTCCTTATATAGGAGGCTCTGTCCTGCCGTCGCGATTTGGGGTGGTTCCCGGTGGAATTTTTTGATGAAACTTTTTGAGCATCTTATTCATCAAGTCTAGTTTACTCATACCAAATTTCAGCTAAAACTTCAATCGAGAACGCATTCAAATTAATTCTTGAAGATAACTGTGCAGTTAAATGAACAATTATCTTCAAGAATTAATTTGAATGCGTTCCCGATTGCAGTTTTAGCTGAAATTTGGTATGAGTAAACTAGACCTGATGAATAAGATGCTCAAAAAGTTTCATCAAAAAATTCCACCGGGAACCACCCCAAATCGCGACGGCCGGACAGAGCCTCCTATATAAGGACTTATTTGACCTTTTTTTGAAAGTTCGAGGACCTATTTGAAAGTTTTCCCATAAATAAACTATTGATACGGAGTATAAGGATGTTTTCTTTTCGACTGCTAGTCTGGTCTGGTCTGGCCTGGTCTGGTCTGATCTTATCTGGTCTGGTCTGGTCTGGTCTGGTCTGGTCTGGTCTGGTCTGGTAAACGTCTGGTCTCTGTGTTTTTTATAACTACGGAAGTCAAGTCTGGTCTGGTCTTGTCTGATTTGATCTGGTTTGATCTGATCTGATATGATCTGGTCTGGTCTGGTCTGGGCTTGAAAACGGTCCAAAAAAACATCCTAAATGCATCCGATTACTTTACATGAGCACAAGAATAATGAAAACTAGCACAATATAACTGACACGTTAACATAAATTGCTGATTCGATCAACAAGAAAAAAGAAAGAACACATCACTTACAGAAACAATAAGGACGTAAATTTGTTGCCATATAAAACCACACAAATGCTATTGCTACCCCAATTTGTATCCCATTTTGTACCCCTCCATATATTTGTGATTCACAAAAGCAATTCATTAAAATGGAGCAATTCATTTAATGTGTTGGACTTTTGTGAACCACAAATATAGGAAGGGTGTACAAATGTGATACCAAATGAGGTACCTCTAGCACAACTCATAAAACCGTAATATCTATTCATCATTAATGAGATGCAGTTACCAAAATTAACCGTAATAATGAAGTTACAAGATTGCTCAAAGCCTCTTCTGTTATTCAAACGTCCGGATTATAAAAATAGACTCTTGTGACTTCTCACTTTACACGTTTAGAAGTTCTTTTATTTGATCTCTACTCTCTCTATATATATATCCATATACATGTATGTTTAAGTAAGTGTGTGCATGATAAAGCAAACAGGAACACAGAGAAGCAGAATCACATACCCTTTGGGGTAAACATTGCCATAAAGCGGCAGAACAATTGAAGACGGTCCCGCTTGAGTGTAAACGGATGGTGATGAGGACGAGGATGAGGGCGAGGATGATCCATCAGAACCTGATGACATCCATGTCCATTTCTGGTGCTGATTGGTGGACCCGGAACCGAAAGAAGCACAGGCCATCACAAGGATGGCCATCATCACCATTGTTCTTCCCCCCATCTCCCCACCAAACGTTTTAAATCTTGAATGAGATTATTTGAGGGTTCAGGAAAGAAATATTTGAAGATTGGGGGACATTAAGTTCCTGTTTTTCCTTTTAAAGTCATTGAGATTCTTTGGAAAGGTAGGTAACTTACTTGGAAATTATGGTTTAAAAAGGTATTATATGTATTCTTCTTCATTGCCCTACATATTCTATTATTCTTTTCTTGTATTGGATCATTGTTGATTTGTTCAGTGTGCTTTTTTTATTCTTTCCCTCCACTGTTAGGCAAAATGCTTACCATACTTTGTAAGTTTGTAGTTTTATAAAATTTAATGTAATGAATGTAAAAAAACACAGTTTCATTCAATTTTTGTAAATGAAGTAGAAAAATATAATAACCCACTTTTTTTTTGTCTTACTAAGCTGATTTTCTCCAAACGCTGAACTTGACTGCTTAAGATGAACAAATCACACTACACAAAATAGTGCAGAGTTACTTTTCCCCCTGCTGGAATTAAAATTCAAAAGGTGTAATTATTGTAAACCAATCTTCTTAGGGTTCTAAATACTTGACTATGAATAACTTTCATATAATGCTTAGAGTTATTCTTTTTCAACATCATAAGAACAATATGAGAAATAGCGTAATATAATTGCTTTAATTTACACTTTTCTTTATAATACATCACTACAAAAAAACAGCGTTCTAGTCACGGATTTTAGTCACGGATTTGGTCCGTGACTAGTTTGTCACGGACTAGTCACGGACTAGTCACGGAATTTTAAAAAAAAATTTAGTCACGGATTTGACCGTGACTGTGTCCGTGACTAAGCTTAGTCACGGTCAGATCCGTGACTAAAATCCTCCGATAGCCCCGATCCCGTTTCCGGCGTGGGTTATTTTATTCCGGGGAATTAGTCACGGACACATCCGTGACTAATACCGTGACTACAAAAAAATTTAATTTTTGGCGGTCAGAAATATACTTTTAATAATTCGAAATTTTTAATTTTTTTTTTTTGAAAAAATAGTCACGGTCAAATCCGTGACTACGGCCGTGACTAATGGCTGTTGTTACCTTAATTAAGAATTCAGGCAAAGGGAATAAAACGAGCAGAGACCGGCGAGCATCAGCGATCGTGATCGGCAAGCATCCGTCCAAGCATCTTACGCGCGGCGGCTAGGGCTTCACTCCGTTAGCAGAGGCGCTTATTATCTATGGTTTTAAAAGTATTACATAATACAGTAAGTATTATTTTTATTGTATTTAAAAAAATTGAAGAGAAAAATTTAACTTTCATTCAATAAATCAGTATTCAGTACATGAAGAATAAAAGGAGGATAAACATCGCAGCTCAAACAATCAAATGTAGAACAAGCCGCCTTAGCAAACTAATATGAGAAAAAGAGATATAGAAAACTCGAATTAATCTCTCTAATATCACCACCAATAAGAAATACTCCTCTTCTGCAATATCTCCGAAATAGCCCCAATAGAATCCGACTCCACATCATCCAATCCTATATTTTCACACCTGATCAGTTCGGCTTCTAGCGGAGACAAAATCCCCCATTTGAAACACCTGCTAAGAAGTTCCCAGTATAAGCCATCCCAGTCCACAAAGTCTATCCCTCACGGCCACATCCACATTTCGTTTTTATCCTGCCCGAAGAAGGTCTTCTCCAAGCTCAAACGATTGCCATTCCTTGATTTCCATTTCCGCTCCCATCTCGTTGCTGCGCCATACACCAGCCATCAACATACGGCGCAGCACTTGTTTCGGATCATCAGTCTGCACGTACACCATTCCAATTTCTGTTATTTCGTTCACACTTCACACCAAAGTCCCCAGCAACCCCAAATAAGCCTACACAACTCATCCTCCTCCTTAGCTAGCTCCAAATTCAGCCTGGACTTATTCCATGAATGACCGCGCCGGAGAACCTGTCCAATACCACCTAATCGCCTCCCATGCAGCCTCCTTTGCAACCTTGGGTGGTAACTTTGTTCCACCCCCACACATGAGTCCAGCCACAGATTCACCAACCAGGGCTCTATAACAACTACGAACAAAGAACTTTCCCGAACTCTCCCACTGCCAACTTAGTTTGTCGGGCACAGATCTAACGCTAATTGGGATGGATCCCTTTTATCAAATCGTCGACATCACGCTGCTTTAGGACATCTTGTAGAAGATCAGTATCCCATCCCTTTCCATCCTCATTCAAAAGATTCTGGACCCATGCTTACTCCAAACCCAAAAAAGGAGCTGATACAAGAAGTTTATGATGATTTTTTGTCAGGGCTCGGTCCAAATGTTAATCGCCGAACCATTTCCATCCCTCCAATAGTAACCTTTCTTGATAATCTCATGTGCCTTAATGATACTCTCAAGGGTTATTATCCCCCTTAGCAAATACTACGTAAAAGATTGATGGGTGCCCAACATCCACTTGGACAAAATAAAACCTGAGAGATAAATATTAAATTCCCTCTAAGCAATATATGTGACATTAATGAAAACAATCTTTGCAAATCAAACTCTTTTCATTGAGAGAATCCACAACAATCACATTATCTGACGAAATTCATACTTTTACCTAACAAATTCTTTTATAAGATTATACTTCAGACTCTTGGGCCTATATATGTGGTATATCATGTATGTACGTATAGACACACATACACATATAAGTATGTATCTATGTATTTTGGTAAAAATCGATTACATAATTTTTTGGTTCATTTTTTCAGTGAAGGTTTGTAATTTGGTGGTCTCAATGGCATTAAATCAAATAGCTCGAGAGCTTATTTGACCATTTTCCAATAGGCTATTATTACGAATGAGAAGATTAAAACTCCTCCAGATTTAGATGAAAACAATGTTGGACACTGGGGGGCGATCGCAATTTGCACGAGTCCATCCTATTGCACTCTTCTCATTACCAAAAATCACTAGTCTATCTTGCATAGACACATCTGCAATAAATGAAAAAATGTGATAATCCAAAGCAAGGATTCAGCTTTTTAATTAACTAATTAGTGTTTCATTCTGTATCATCCAAGAAATTGAATAGTTGAAAACTCATACCTTCACATATTTAGACTCAAAACTCACCATTTTGCTTTTCATTGCTTTACTTAGGATGGGGTGGGGGTGTTTTCAACTATGCCTATGAGAAGTCCACATTACGTGATATCATGTGACATTGGTGTCCAAGTGACGCGAGAGGCATCATAAACATCATCCCCAAGTAAGAGATACCCTACACCTCGTGAACTCAAGCAGTGGCCAACCACGTTTCTCACCAGACCAAGGTTCTTTAGCTGTGAGAGAATGTCGGTTCTTCCTTTTCCAAAGCCAAGTACCCCATCTGAAGGATGGCGAGATGGACTGTGTATCTGATCATATCCGCACCTGGCTCAAATAGGAAGCATGAAAACACCTAAATATGTCTAAATCTAAAACTCGCGGGCTTCATGAGATCAAGGAAGATACTGACCCGAGAGCCAGATGAAGTTTAACCACAACCCCACTGGTAAGATTAAGAGAAAAGACATCATTGAGCAAGACACCGAGAAATGAACCTCCGTCAACATACTCAACCTCATAATCGCATTGCTCTAGAGTGTCACATTTATAATCAGCTAGATGCAGAGAGGCACAAAGGGGGTCCTTGCAAATCATAAGGTCATTGTTGGGCTTGTAGAAAGGGTGATGTGCCTGGGATTTGAAGGATTGAAATAGTTTACACATTAGGAAAAGCAAATATGAGGTATATGAGTATATCTATATCATGTTGTAGAAATATAATAAGACAGTTATGTTATACCCTTGTACAATGGACACAGGAAACATCAGATTGAAGCCAGGTAAGGTCACTTCCCGTATCCGGATCAAGAAAATAAGGCTTTGATGGGTTCCCAACATCCACTTGGACAAAATAAAATCTGAGAGATAAATGTTCAATTCCCTCTAAGCAATATATGTGACATTAATGAAAACAATCTTTGCAAATCATACTCTTTTCATTGAGAGAATCCATAACAATCAAATTATCTGAAGAATTTCATACACTTACCTAACAAATTCTTTTATAACATTATACTTCAGACTCTTGGGCCTATATATGTGGTATATCATGTATGTACGTATAGACACACTCATACACATATAAGTACGTATCTATGTATTTTGGTAAAAATCGATTACATAATTTTTTGGTTCATTTTTTCATTGAAGGTTTGAAATTTGGTGGTCTCAATGGCATTAAATCAAATAGCTCGAGAGCTTATTTGACCATTTTCAAATAGGCTATTATTACAAGTGAGAAGATTAAAAATCCTCCAGATTTAGATGAAAACAATGTTGGACACTGGGGGGCGATCGCAATTTGCACGAGTCCATCCTATTGCACTCTTCTCATTGTCAAAAATCACTAGTCTATCTTGCATAGACACATCTGCAATAAAATGAAAAAATGTGATCATCCAAAGCAAGGATTCAGCTTTTTATTAACTAATCAATGTTTCATTCTGCATCATCCAAGAAATTGAATAGTTGAAAACTCATACCTCCGATAATGTTGAAATTTTGCAGTCCTGCTTCGGTGCCGTTCAGAACTCCCATGCAAACATTGCCCTTTGACTGCCACAACACCATACAAGTAAGAGGATAAGATTTATTCGCTCGTTTGGTTTGGGATTTCAGAGGGAATGGAAGGGGATGATTTGATTTGATTTTTACCAACTGCTCATGTGTGTCTATATAATTTTTTAACTTTAGTTTATGGCCAACCATCTAAATGTAGAGATAATACTAATTTGATTAAGAAATATAATACCCCTCCTCCCCTTCCATCCCCTCTGAAATCCCAGAACCAGACAAGCCCTAAGAGAGTGTTAATTACAAGCACTTACTGAGATGATAAGATATGAGTCAGGGGGGATCTCAAACAGAGTTTTGGATTTCCATCCACCAGCAAAGCTGAGTGAGAAGGACTTGAAGTATTTCTTCACTTCGCTGATGCTCATGAAAGGCTTCCTTCCCGTCCAGCATAAGGGTAGTGTTGGGTCATCATCTGCTTCTTTTAGGGGCTTACCTCTCAGTTCTTTCTCCAGCTACGAGAACAAATGGTACCACCCATGGTCATGAAATGAAAAAGGAGAAGCTCTGGAGGAAGAACGAAGATCACAACTTACTAAATATAGTAAAGCTTCGTACGGTTGCGTATTCAAATAGCTAAAAGAGCTCCCGCTATCAAACACCACATGAAGATTCTTTACTCCGGTACTTTTACTGCCAAAAAGTAGTTCTGCAGGCCCTGGAGCATAGTGATTCCTGTCATTTTTACCTTCACATATTTAGACTCAAAACTCACCATTTTGCTTTTCATTGCTTTACTTAGGATGGGGTTGGGGTGTTTTCAACTTTGCATATGAGAAGTGCACATTACGTGATATCATGTGACATTGGTGTCCAAGTGACGCGAGAGGCATCATAAACATCATCCCCAAGGAAGAGATACCCTCCACCTCGTGAACTCAGGCAGTGGCCAACCACGTTTCTCACCAGACCAAGGTTCTTCAGCTGTGAGAGAATGCCGGTTTTTCCTTTTCCAAGGCCAAGTACCCCATCTGAAGGATGGCGAGATGGACCATGTATCTGATCATATCCGCACCTGGTTCAAATTGGAAGCATAAAAACACCTAAATATGTCTAAATCTAAAACTCGCGGGCTTCATGAGATCAAGGAAGATACTGACCCGAGAGCCAGATGAGGTTTAACCGCAACCCCACTGGTAAGATTAAAAGAAAAGACATCATTGAGCAAGACACCGAGAGATGAACCTCCATCAGCATACTCGACCTCATAATCGCATTGCTCTAGAGTGTCACATTTATAATCAGCTGGATGCAGAGAGGCACAAAGAGGGTCCTTGCAAATCACAAGGTCATTGTTGGGCTTGTAGAAAGGGTGATGTGCCTGGGATTTGAAGGATTGAAATAGTTTACTCATTAGGAAAAGCAAATATGAGGTATATGAGTATATCTATATCATGTTGTAGAAATGTAATAAGACAGTTATGTTATACCCTTGTACAATGGACACATGGAGCATCGCATTGAAGCCAGGTAAGGTCACTCCCTGTATCCGGATCAAGAAAATAAGGCTTTGATGGGTGCCCAACATCCACTTGGACAAAATAAAATCTGAGATAAATATTCAATTCCCTCTAAGCAATATATGTGACATTAATGAAAACAATCTTTACAAATCATACTCTTTTCGTTGAGAGAATCCACAACAATCACATTATCTGACGAAATTCGATCATACACTTACCTAACAAATTCTTTTATAACATTATACGAAGTACTTCAAACTTTTGAGCCCATATATGTGGTGTATCATGTATGTACGTATAGACACATTCATACACCTATAACTCTATAAGTACGTATCTATGTATGTGGACACATATATAGACACACACACACTTGTATGTGCATATTTACATATACATACATACATACATACATACACACACACACACACATAGGAGGAAAATGTTCAAGTAAGGTAGGCCTACGAATGTACTCCCTCCGTCCCAAAATTATTGTCCCGCTTTCCTTTTCGGTCTGTCCCGAAATAATTGTCTCGTTTCTTTACCTTCTTTATTTGGTAAACAAATCTACACCAAACATTGTCAAACAGTGTTAAATAGTGTTGCTACAGTGCCAAACAGTGTCGCTACAGTGCGAATCAGTGTCGCTACAGTGTCATTTTCTTAATCTATGTGAAAAACCAAACGGGACAATAATTTTGGGACGGAGGGAGTAATACTTAGGCCTCTTTCATTTGAGGTGCTTTCAGGTCGAATTTTTTGATGAAATTTGTGAGTATCTTCTCCATGAAGTGTAGACTATGCCCACCAAATTTAAGATTAAAATTCAATCGGAAAGTCGGTTAAATATTTTTTTTAAAATTGCGCAGGTTTTTATATATATAAAATGCAGTTTGTTTTCAATAATCTATTTAACCGACTTCCCGATTTTATTTTTTTGTGAAGTTTGGTGGACATAATCTACAATTCATGGAGAACATGCTCAAAAAATTTCATCAAAAAATTCGATCCGGAAGCACCTCAAATGAAAGTGGCCTAAGAATTACAATTATTAAGGCTACCACACTTGAACATTGTCCTATATATATAGGGGGTTGGGTTATAATAAGAAGACACCTTATTGTGTAAAATGAGAGACAATGACGTTGGAATAAGAGACGGGATGATTGCACACAAATATGGTGCGGCGCATAGTGCTGTATAGAAACTACACTCGCCAAAATCAAATAAGTGGACGGAAAGGTTAATATTGTAAAAACAGAGGCAACCTCAGAAGGTAATAAGATGCCGATTTGAATTTCAAGAGCTACTTACATGTAAACTCACGTATAGTGCGCCGCTACCCACTAATTCGAATAGAAAACTTTTAGAAAAAAGGTGCAAATAGGCCATGTATTAACCCAAAAAGGTCAAAGAAGGCCTTATTTAGGAGACTTTGTCCGGTCATCTCCATTTGGGATGGTTCCTGGCGGAATTTTTTGATGAAAATTTTTGAGCATCTTATTCATCAAGTCTAGTTTACTCATACCAAATTTCAGCTAAAAATTCAATCGGGAAGACATTCAAATGAATTCTTGAAAATAACTGCGCAGTTAGAAGCGCAGTTATCTTTAAGAATTCATTTGGATGGCTTCCCGATTGAATTTTTAGCTGAAATTTGGTATGAGTAAACTAGACTTGATGAATAAGATGCTCAAAAAATTTCATCATAAAATTCCACCGGGAACCACCCCAAATGACGAAGGCCGGACAGAGCCTCCTAAATAAGGACTTATTTGACCTTTTTTGGTTAATACATGGGCCTATTTGCACATTTTCCCAAACTTTTATATGTCAACTTTTAATGTCAGTATTGGCTTTCTGTGGGGAAAATTGGGGGAAGCTAATGTTTTTTTGCCTGGCTTTCTTTCAAACTTAGCTTCTTTAAATTAATTTATAAATTAAACCGCATTGTGTGAGTATGCATTGTTGGATTGGTGTGGTTTTGCTGGGGGTAATTCAGTTGTATTGCCTTTGCTGAACATTAACGAGCATGAGAAAGTGAGATAAGTGCGCATGTATGTAACAAATGTGTGATACTCCTTCCGTCCCATTTATATTGTCCCGTTTTACCTTTTTGGGAAGTCCCACTTAAATTGTCCTATACCATATTTGGCAAAGTTTGTGTGACTCTAAATCATTCTTACTTTATTCTTACTTTATCAATTAATATCAACCACACAAACCAACTTTTCTTAATAACTGTGCCACCCTCTTCCGTCCCAATATAAATGGGACGGAGGTAGTATAAATTAATTAAAAAACAGGGGGTTTATTGGCAAATTATTACGTAGTATACTGCAATGTTGACAATAATATATTAATATGCGAAAACAAGTGAAATGAAAAGTAGCGATAAACTGAAAAAGGAAAAGTAATTTAAATCCGTAAATAACAATCAATTTGGTAAATAGAGCAAAAAGTGAATGATAAGTGTGTATTTGACATCTATGTAGTAGCAGGTTTAGCTTGCACCACGGGTAAGGTGTGCAGAATTCAGGCACTTGTGCACACACTAGTGATTCATGTGCAACAGAATATTATTTTTATTAATATAATTACATACATGTGTTTTTAAGATTATGTAGCAAAGTGGGATAATATTGAATTAGTGCATTATCTATATTGTAAATGCGGAGTACTACCTCCGTTGTTAAATAAATGCAACATGTTGAATTTTACACTATTAACATGCTCTACTTTGACTACATTTTATTTATTAATGTATTAATATATTTTTTTTGAAAAAAAATATTGTTAAATTTGTCGGGAAAACTGTCAAATAGGTCCTCGAACTTTCAAAAAAAAATCAAATAAGTCCTTATATAGGAGGCTCTGTCCTGCCGTCGCGATTTGGGGTGGTTCCCGGTGGAATTTTTTGATGAAACTTTTTGAGCATCTTATTCATCAAGTCTAGTTTACTCATACCAAATTTCAGCTAAAACTTCAATCGAGAACGCATTCAAATTAATTCTTGAAGATAACTGTGCAGTTAAATGAACAATTATCTTCAAGAATTAATTTGAATGCGTTCCCGATTGCAGTTTTAGCTGAAATTTGGTATGAGTAAACTAGACCTGATGAATAAGATGCTCAAAAAGTTTCATCAAAAAATTCCACCGGGAACCACCCCAAATCGCGACGGCCGGACAGAGCCTCCTATATAAGGACTTATTTGACCTTTTTTTGAAAGTTCGAGGACCTATTTGAAAGTTTTCCCATAAATAAACTATTGATACGGAGTATAAGGATGTTTTCTTTTCGACTGCTAGTCTGGTCTGGTCTGGCCTGGTCTGGTCTGATCTTATCTGGTCTGGTCTGGTCTGGTCTGGTCTGGTCTGGTCTGGTAAACGTCTGGTCTCTGTGTTTTTTATAACTACGGAAGTCAAGTCTGGTCTGGTCTTGTCTGATTTGATCTGGTTTGATCTGATCTGATATGATCTGGTCTGGTCTGGTCTGGGCTTGAAAACGGTCCAAAAAAACATCCTAAATGCATCCGATTACTTTACATGAGCACAAGAATAATGAAAACTAGCACAATATAACTGACACGTTAACATAAATTGCTGATTCGATCAACAAGAAAAAAGAAAGAACACATCACTTACAGAAACAATAAGGACGTAAATTTGTTGCCATATAAAACCACACAAATGCTATTGCTACCCCAATTTGTATCCCATTTTGTACCCCTCCATATATTTGTGATTCACAAAAGCAATTCATTAAAATGGAGCAATTCATTTAATGTGTTGGACTTTTGTGAACCACAAATATAGGAAGGGTGTACAAATGTGATACCAAATGAGGTACCTCTAGCACAACTCATAAAACCGTAATATCTATTCATCATTAATGAGATGCAGTTACCAAAATTAACCGTAATAATGAAGTTACAAGATTGCTCAAAGCCTCTTCTGTTATTCAAACGTCCGGATTATAAAAATAGACTCTTGTGACTTCTCACTTTACACGTTTAGAAGTTCTTTTATTTGATCTCTACTCTCTCTATATATATATCCATATACATGTATGTTTAAGTAAGTGTGTGCATGATAAAGCAAACAGGAACACAGAGAAGCAGAATCACATACCCTTTGGGGTAAACATTGCCATAAAGCGGCAGAACAATTGAAGACGGTCCCGCTTGAGTGTAAACGGATGGTGATGAGGACGAGGATGAGGGCGAGGATGATCCATCAGAACCTGATGACATCCATGTCCATTTCTGGTGCTGATTGGTGGACCCGGAACCGAAAGAAGCACAGGCCATCACAAGGATGGCCATCATCACCATTGTTCTTCCCCCCATCTCCCCACCAAACGTTTTAAATCTTGAATGAGATTATTTGAGGGTTCAGGAAAGAAATATTTGAAGATTGGGGGACATTAAGTTCCTGTTTTTCCTTTTAAAGTCATTGAGATTCTTTGGAAAGGTAGGTAACTTACTTGGAAATTATGGTTTAAAAAGGTATTATATGTATTCTTCTTCATTGCCCTACATATTCTATTATTCTTTTCTTGTATTGGATCATTGTTGATTTGTTCAGTGTGCTTTTTTTATTCTTTCCCTCCACTGTTAGGCAAAATGCTTACCATACTTTGTAAGTTTGTAGTTTTATAAAATTTAATGTAATGAATGTAAAAAAACACAGTTTCATTCAATTTTTGTAAATGAAGTAGAAAAATATAATAACCCACTTTTTTTTTGTCTTACTAAGCTGATTTTCTCCAAACGCTGAACTTGACTGCTTAAGATGAACAAATCACACTACACAAAATAGTGCAGAGTTACTTTTCCCCCTGCTGGAATTAAAATTCAAAAGGTGTAATTATTGTAAACCAATCTTCTTAGGGTTCTAAATACTTGACTATGAATAACTTTCATATAATGCTTAGAGTTATTCTTTTTCAACATCATAAGAACAATATGAGAAATAGCGTAATATAATTGCTTTAATTTACACTTTTCTTTATAATACATCACTACAAAAAAACAGCGTTCTAGTCACGGATTTTAGTCACGGATTTGGTCCGTGACTAGTTTGTCACGGACTAGTCACGGACTAGTCACGGAATTTTAAAAAAAAATTTAGTCACGGATTTGACCGTGACTGTGTCCGTGACTAAGCTTAGTCACGGTCAGATCCGTGACTAAAATCCTCCGATAGCCCCGATCCCGTTTCCGGCGTGGGTTATTTTATTCCGGGGAATTAGTCACGGACACATCCGTGACTAATACCGTGACTACAAAAAAATTTAATTTTTGGCGGTCAGAAATATACTTTTAATAATTCGAAATTTTTAATTTTTTTTTTTGAAAAAATAGTCACGGTCAAATCCGTGACTACGGCCGTGACTAATTCAAAATTTTGAATTAGTCACGGCCGTAGTCACGGATTTGACCGTGACTACGCCGGTCAATGACGGCGCTGACACTTCGTCTTCCGCGTGTCTGACTACATTGTAGTCACGGATATATCCGTGACTAACTCCGTGACTACGCCCATATATATAATTAACACTTGGCGAATTTTTCATTTGACACTCTCCAAAATCCTAAAACTCTCCATCTCCCTATACTTCTTCTCTCTGTCCGCCAACCCCTTCGACCTCCACCGTCCGTCGCCACTGTCAGCCGCCGCTCTCCACTGTCTGTCGCCACCGTCCGCCGCCGCTCTCCGGTACCTAGCTCCATCGATCTTCGCCGTCCCTCTTACCTTTTCATCAAGGTTATGTGTTCTAAATTTTAATTATTTCATTCTTATTTTTAGTATTTGATTTTTATTCCATGAATGCATGTTATTATAAGTATGTTCGCATTATTTTTGTTGAAATACACTCAAATGCATGATTATATACATGATTTTTAGTTTTATATAATTTCCGAAATTTTCAATTTGTTTATACATGTTTAATATGATATAGTCTATTATATGTTTTGTAGTAATACATGTTTAATATTACTTTCATTTGAAATACATGTTTACTTTCATTTGTTTATACATGTTTAATTTGTTTATAGTTTATTTCCGAAATTCATTTTCAATTTCCAGATTCTTTAGTTTTGTATACATGTTTTGTGTAGAAATACATGTTTAATATTAAATTTCGAAATATGATTTTGTTTATAAATTTCTTTAGTTTGTATACATGTTTAATATGATATAGTTTATTATATGTTTAATATGCATGACTATATTTTTTGTGTATATGTTTAATATGCATTCCTAAATATGATTTTGTTTTTGTTTAAACCACATGCATGATTATTCAAACCTTTTTTGACTTACAATGAAGCATGCTCAATACAATTCTTTGGACATTATAGGGATTATTATTATTTTATCATCTAGCCAAATTGTTATTCCCGAATTATTTAAAAAAATATCCCCTCATGTTATTCTTCCAAAAAAGTTTAACATGTTAATTTTAAACAGTTTAAACAAAATATTATTAAAAACTATATAAACTATTTAATAAAAACTGTTTTTTTTATTAAACTGTTTAATAAAAAACTATTTATTAGAGAGTCAGAGACTGTTTAATTAAAAAACAGTTTAACAAAAATTGCTTTTATTAAAACAGATTAATAAACACTGGTTCACAAAATATTATTGAAAACCTCTGAAATAAAATAGAAAATATTGATTATAACAAAACAGTTTACTAAAAACTGTGTTTTATTAAACTGTTTTATAAAAATTGTTTATTAAACTCCATTTAATGAAAAAACAGTTTAATAAAAACTGTTTTATATTAAGTTGATATAAAAATAAAGTTAAATTAGAGTATGAAAAACTTTTTTGAAATATTAAACTATTTTTTGAAATGTTATGCTATTTTTTCGAAATTATAACAATTAAAATGTTTAAAATATGATTTATACTGATTTTTTAAAATGGCATACGAATAAATACAAAAAAACTGTTTTTAAAGAAATTATAAAATTTGATTTATATAAAGTATAAAAACTCATTTTTATATAAAAAAGTATAACAGTTTATATAAACTGTTTTTCATACAAAAAAAGGATAAAGCTTAAAACAGTTTTTAAGTTTAACACAATTTTTAAGCCTCCAAATCTGTTTTTAAGTTTAGTAAGTTTTGAAATGATTTGTATAACTTCCTTATAAAAACTAATTTTAATGCAAAAACTGAATTTTTTAAAGTCTAGGATTTCATTATAAAAATGAATTTTAATGTCCTTATTAAAATGAATTAAAGTTAAAATATGAATTAAAATGAATTTTATAACTTTCTTATAAAAAGTAAAAAAAAAACTCATATAGGTGGCCTCCAAGGAGGAGGCAGCCAAGGAGGAGGCAGCCAAGGAGGAGGCAGTCGCGGGGGAGGCAGTCGCAGATGAGGCAGTCGCGGTGGCAACCGAGAAGGCCAATGTGGAGGCAACTGAGAAGAAAACGAGACTGAAGAAGATTATCTATATAATGATTCTAGATATTATGGTGGCCGGAAGAGCTTGTAAATGATATACATTTTTAATTTAAATTGAACATTGTTTATTACTTTTATTCTAATCTGTTAATTTTATTCTAATATTTGAAACATATATATTTTTTAATTTTTTTTAAAACAAAAAAACTTTTTTTTAAAAAACCAAATAACTTAGTCACGGATCTGGTCCGTGACTAAGTTTTTAGTCCGGAATTCTTTTATAAATTTAAAATTTATTTTTTTTATAAAAAAATTTTAGTCACGGATTTATGACCGTGACTAATACGAAATTTCAAAAATTTGAAAATAGGAACCGCGGTTTTTTGAAAATTTTCAAAATTTCAAAATTTGAAAACTTAGTCACGGATATTTCCGTGACTAATTTGTTCGCATTTTTTCAAAAAAAAAAAAATATTTAGTCACGGACGTGTCCGTGACTACAATAAAAAAAAATTAAAAAAAAATTAGTCACGGATCTTAGCCGTGACTAAAGTGCCGGAGTAGCTATTCCGGTGACAGATTAGTCACGGATCTAGTCCGTCACTAATCCGTGACTACATTTAGTCATGGACTTTTTGGCGTGACTAAATTTAGTCACGCCCAAATAGTCACGGATTTAGTCACGGACAAAATCCGTGACTAAAGGAGTTAGTCACGGATTTTTTAAACTAGGGTCCGTGACTAAATCCGTGACTACAACCGAATTTTTTTGTAGTGCATGAATATATTTGAGTTAAGCATTTGGCAAATTAACTATCTTTTCATTAGTTCCTTTAATGGTATATATCCACATTACTTTCTTATTACTAAATGTGATACTTTATAAATATTTTTTCCCCAATCTGATACTCCCGTTTGAACATTTTGCTTGCCTAACTCAATACATCTCTCTACAAATATGTTTCTTTTCATAAAAATAATTATTTTTGTGGTGTAAAATAATGACCAGTAATAGAGTGATATCATATAAAAGTAACTACTCCATTAACTAGGTACATGTATGCCTTATTATTCCTTGCAGCAAAACTAAAATAATGATTGAACTTCTTGAGGGAATTCACTTTTTTTTTTGCTTAGATGAAGGCAATTTCTGTGGATCTTCAAGCTATGTAGACATGGTATGACATTGTAACTTATAACTACTGCCTGTTGCTCGAAACTGTCAGCGCTCAAGGTGAGATTTAACATTCACAAGACGTAAGTATTTCATCTACGAACGTAGTCATATCATAAAGTAGATTTGAATCCTCACTTCCTCAGATTAACTATATTCACATCTTTTTTAATTATTCACTTCAATTTCCAAATTTTAAATCTCACATATTTTAAATACTTTAATTTTCCTATTCAAATTAAATCATATTCAAGTGTATAATAATACCCTAAAGGCTAAATGGCATGTTGTATTTGGTTTCATTTGTTTGTTTTGTGTGGAAATGTTTGACACAATTGTAATACCCCTTCATAAATCTGGTTCTTTGAGACAGTTAATTCTATGTGGGGAAAAAATATACTCCCAGCAATCAAGTGATGTAGTGATGGGTTAATGTACTTATTTATCCCTTGCTGCAAAAAGTAAAATGGTGGTCAAATATCTTGCATATGTCATGTTTGATAACATATGTTATGTTTGGTAAAATGCTTACATGATCTTCCTTTGTTTTTTGAAATTGTATAAAAGAACAAATCTAATTTGTTTAGTGTTTCACATTGCTCTCTTTTTAGGACTTGATTTAGTGATGAACAATTAAGAGACTGGATTATAAACAAACGCATCTTATTATATCATAATAGACAAAACTGCAACTTTCTTTTCAAGAATTGATAAAAATGGAGAGGGTGAACATGGTTTATGAAAAAACACAAGGTTTTTGTATAGCATGGCTTATGAAAAAGGCAAGGTTTGTGCTATAAAACTAGGGGGCTGTACTCGGTGTTGTACATGGTTATTAAGATTTTGGCTATGAAACCAGTCCATGCAATTTTGTTATAAAACCATTCTTTGGCCAACTGCAGTATGAATCCTCATTTCCCTTAGAGTTAGGTATGGTAAAGGAACCACATTCATGTAGCCAGTCCATGCAATTTTGTTAATAACAAATTTGAGCATCATCAAGCCATAGATTTCTTAACATTATTTAGCTATTGAAGTTTATATGGGTTATTGGCAGTTGCTGCTCAAGTTCGTCTTCATTTAGATAGCCATATGTGGAAATTAATCTTTAAAACTGCCTGTTCTTGCCATCTATTTCTTCTGCCTTCAATCAATTCAGCTTTCCTGAATCATCATCTCTGTTATCTTCTTTATCCGAAACGAAAACATTGATGTTGGCGCATCTACCAAGGAAGTCTATTTTGTAAGGTGTCATTCTGTTGAAGGTTAATTGACTGTTTACTATATTATTCTGGCTCTTATTGTTTATGACTTTAGTGTAGTCTAATTTAGTGTAAGGTCTTATTTGGGTGAGAGGCAATCAAGAAAGAACTGAAGAAGCACAGTTGTAGCCCAGAGAGGATTCTTGAAAATGTAGTTGCCTCCTCATCTGGAGATGATTTCTCTATTTTCCTCATAAGAAAAAACTACAATACACCTTCAGTGTCAAAATATCACATTTTAATACCAATTTAGTGTCAAAATCATTCTGTAGTTTCTAAATGTCCCAATTTTACATTTTAATACCAATTTCTATAATGTCAAGAAGGAATTAACTTTATCACCAGTCAACCATCATTTGCAATGGAGCCAAAGATTCATTATTTTTTGGTTTGAGAATACGATGGAATAAAGCGAAACGGCTCACTAAACTGTCTGCGCTTCTTTCTCATGAAGCATCTTTTAGTCCATGTAATTTTGGACGCGATTTTCACTATGGGTCATCCGGAAACAGTCTCTCTGTGCTTTAATACAGGGGTAAGACTGCGTACATCCGACCTCCCCTTACCACACCATAGGTGGGAGCCTTTGCGGCACTGGGGTAAATGAAAATGATGATGATGATGAAATGACCAGTCAACCATCGTAAACAAGTAATGAGAAGGCAATGAGTATATTATTTCAGTTGGATTAATTATTTTGAGTCATTATTTTACTATTATGCATGAGAATAACTAAAGTTGGTATAAGCTGCTTTGTTTCTCAGTTTATAACTTTTGTTTCTCACTTTGGCTTTTCCCACATGGCCACACATTACAAATGTGGTATCAGTTCTTATCTATGTGTATAATATGTATACTTAGATTCTTCAATTTCTCCCCTACTTCTACCACAAACTTCCATTACACTTCTGTTTATAGGGAAAACGATAGATACTCTTTATTTGGTGTTGGATTGGTTGCATGTACTTATACTAATGTACAATTAGGATAAAGAATAGACACAACCAATCCAAAATTTGTTGAGTAAAAAGTTACTTTAATCTATGGTTCAGATAAATGTATAAACATAATCTATTTAAAATAAAAGGTCAGTTAAGACTAAAAGAACATTATATACATGTGTGTAACTGTGGAAGGATTGCCACATTCCTGCATTCTCTATGCACTCATCACACATCTTACATCCATAATCACTCTTCTTGACAAATACGTTTCTGAGATCTTAAGAAACCGTGTTATATTCATTCTCCATTCATGTTCCATAAATAAAAGGTATAGTATGTAGTTATTTATATCAACGCAACATACACATGTAATACGGAGTAGCTTTCTAAAAAATAATTTCTTTTGAAATATATTTTTCAAAATAGAGGTGATAAAATTAGATTAACTTCACCGGGGGTGTAGCACACATGATGGGAAGACGGTGCCACAAGGGAGAGGTCACAGGTTCAACTCCAAACAATTTAAAGACTTGGAATGAAACTTCACTCTCTTTCCATCAGTGTGTGATCAAATACTCAATTTTCATCCTCTCAAATAACTGATTGGTCGGTTCGTGGACGTGCTCAGGGATGGAATTTCATCCTTTATTTTGGATTAACTTTTTCATTGCTAGCTATTAAGTTTATTTTTATCAATATGTTTCAGAAATTAAAGAATTCTTTTGCCAGTATTTCCTCTAAATAGACACTTGAACTAACTTAAAGTACTACCTCCGTCCCGTTGGAATGTTCCCGTTCGGTTTACGATGCTTGACTGACGATAAAGCAACTCGATTCCTGTTCACACTCCACTTATTTTTAGTAAATAAAATTTACATATTCAGAAACTACATTAAAACCGCTACAAAGTTTGATCAAGAAAAGTTCAATTTGATAAAAATTTGATATATAAAGTAAAAGATTAGAAGTGACCTAAGTTGACCAATGAATAGTGAACGAGAACATTCTAACGGGACGGAGGGAGTATTTAATTAGCTTCTTATATAGGAGGTTCTGCCCGGCCGTTTAACTCCTAAAACTCATCTGCATCTAGAACCAAAGAGCTAATTGAACACGTTTGTCCAAAAAAAACGAAGCTACAGATACAACCAAAGAAGTGCAATTGTGAACTTCATCATTGCTTATTTAAGATAATCTGCATCTACGTCTCTATTTTAGATGATTATATTTAGTAAGAAATAAATTGGCTACCATATGCACCTCTAAAAGTTTGCCATATGCATAGATGAGTGTACACAATTACTCCCTCCGTCCCTTTAGAACGTTCCCATTTTCCTTTTTTGAACATCCTGCTAGAAGGTTCTCATTGCCATTTTAGGAAAGAATTAACAATCTTAAGTGATAAATTAGTCATTAAATATTAAAAATAAGACATTTATAACATCACAGTTATCAATATTAACACATTATAATATATGTCTATTAAAAATTATTTTTCTAAATAACCGTGTCGTTTTGCTATGGAAACCTTCCAACGGGACGGAGGTAGTAATTTTTTAGCATTAATCTCAACATCATTTGTACTTTGTAGCCATTCTTAATCCTACTTGTATAAAATACTCCGTATCATCGTGGCTTCGTTTGGGAAACAGCTTATTAGCTGATATTTAGCTGGTTTGACTAAAAATAGCTGGTCCAAATGGTAAAGAAGCCGAAATTGTTGTTTGGTAATCAACTTGTTGATTCGGCTGTTTAATCCCAAGAAGCCGAAAAGCAAAATGCCAAGGGGAGCAGCGTTTGTGGACAGCTTGTGTGAATTATTCCTTTTATGCCATTGCATATTCCAAGTTGTTCGTTCTTCTTCAATAAAAATCAAACCTCACAAATTAATCTGCCATCTACGTTGTACGTCATTCTCTTTCTTCATATTTTTAGTTTACGTGCAAGATTTTTTTTCCAGGTTTTCTTCTTCGTTTGTAATTTATCTTGCTAAATTAGAGAAAGTTTTGCACATTAGAGAAAGAACAAAAATTATTTAAAATAAACAATAAAAAAGTTTTCAAAAGTGATAACTTATTTTATCTAGATTTGTTAAGTGTTATAACAACACGGAATTACAAGTGTTTATAAAATATGAGGTATGTTATTCTATAGGTAATTGTAATTATAATATGATTATTATAAAAAATATATAGCAGTAAAAAGAGTATATATATAATTATGCCCGTATGCGTCTTTTTACATTCTAACAGCTATTTTTAACTAGCTAATTTACCAAACAATTACTGACAACAAACTATTATAACCAATCAATCAAAAAAGCTAACATAACCAGCCGTTGCCAAACCGCTATCATAACCAGCTAACAGCTAATAGTTATCAGCCGATTGCCAAACAAGGCCTGTATCAATCTATCTGTAGTGCTTTTACCAAAAAAAAAAATCTATCTGTAGTGCTCTTTTGTTTACTCTGTTATTCATCATTAATTCACGTTTGATAAGTCTGCAATTTTTAAAGTATTTGGTGTTACATGAACTAATAGGTAATGCAATGAACAATTTTAATATAAAACTGGAATTCAAATATGAAATCATTTCAGCTAACGTTAAAGCACATGTACCATCCAGATTAACGATTGTTGGTTTTATGCTGAAAGAAATTCTACTCTCTCATTGGGGACTTAATTGGGTTATCTTGGATATATTACTTCCGTCCCACTAACATTGGAACAAGAGTGGTTGACACAGTTATTAAGAAAAAAATGAGTATACGTGGTTGATATTGAAAAATAAAGTCAAAATGTTTTAGAGACATACAAACTTTACGAGATTTGGTATGAGTCAATCTTGGTAGAACTTTCTGAAAAGAAAAAATGAGACAATTTTAGCGTGACGGAGGGAGAAGTATGTAATAAAACGTATCGTTGAACGTGAAAATGCATTAAAATGAACGCTTACATGTATTTTAATCTTTCCAATATAACATATTTTATTTTTAATATATAGAATTTATCTTTTTGTTATTCATCCCAACAATTATGATATTTTCTTTTATAGCCAACGTACTCTCAAACAAATTCTATTTTACAACAAAATAAACATAACAAACAAAATTCTAAAATTCTATTTTACCATTTCAATTTTAATATTTTATCTTCTAAAGAGCTATTGAGACTTATCTAAAAAACAAAAGCAATTAGTGCTAACTACAGTAACGGATAATTTCAAAGAAATTATAAAAACTTGATGTGGAAATTTTAAAGTGGATTTAAGTAAGCAACATTTTGTTTCCTCTCGCTAAATAGAGCATGCACCTTAGGGATGGTCATTACAAAGGCTGTATAAGAAATATGATCTAGAGGGGCTCCGTGCTTGAGAAAATTATTTTGTTGGGTTCAAAACTTAATATGTCAACATATTACTCCCTCCGTCCCGGTCCTGGTCCCGCAAAATAGTTCCCGATTTCCTTTCCGGGCCGTCCCAAAAAATAGTTCTCATTTCTTCTTTTGGAAACTTTTGTGTGGCTAACATGCACTTACTTTTTTCTTACTCAATCACAACCATACATTTCCACTTTATTATCACTTTCTTAAACTACAATCCAAATCAATGCGAGAACTATTTTGTGGGACGGATGGAGTATTTTCTAACTATTTAGTTTAGCAACAAAAAGTATTACTCCCCCTGTCCCTAAAAATACTTCCAACTTTCCTTTTTGGGCATCCCAAAATAAAATTTCTCTTTCTCTTTTTGGTAAAGATTTGTGGTTCACAACAATTCTTACACATTTCTCTCTCATCTGTACAACTTTCCGCCACACAATACTTACTATCTTAATCCCCGTGTCATTTGTACTATGGAACAAAATTTAGGGACGAAGGGAGTATATGTCAATGATGTACGAGTAATACATATTTAATACTGACTTACTTTAACGCCATCACACATTAAGGTCCAATCACTTTTCAGCGTAAACAATTTCTATAAATGGTTAGTTATGCAATGATCATTAATAAGAGTTCAAGATAGTGAATGGGAAATTGTGACATCTTCCTTCGTCAACCCTTTTTCACACATGGATAGTTGTTTGTGGTGTTCATGAGAATAACAACCTTACTTGAGTTAAAGTTTGTGATATGTGATGAAAACGAACGTCCAACATCGTTTGTGTTTAATGTTTTATACATAAAATTTGATAGTAATTTATAGTTTCCTTTTACATTTTTTATGGGTTTCATTGTTAAATTTTACTATTTATTTCTTATAATGTTATTACCATTGTTCTAAAAATAGGCATAGGCGGACCGATTAATCGGCCTAGACTACCTAGACAGCCCTAACTGTAGTGGCCTAGTCGGCCTAGTCGGTCAAAAAATCACCCTAGTCGGCCGCCTAGGCGCTAGGCGTCCCTCAACCGCCCGACTAGCGCCTAGCGAGTTTTAGAACAATGGTTATTACAATGACACCTAGCTTGAGCATGTTTGGTAGAACGAAAATCGGCTGTTTTGGCTGGTTTTGCTGAAATATATGAAGTTCTGGCTGAAGTGGCTGCATTGGCTGATTCTGCTGATTTAAAAAAAAAATTATTTGTAAAATATATTCTATTAAAAAAATAAAGAAAAAAATATATGTAAAAATAGCTAAAATGGTCATCTACAGTAACTGCAGCCAATACAACCAGAAAAGTAACTCCAAACTTACGTTTTCTGCTTATTACACAATTCAGCGCGCGAAAGCAAAAGTTACATGTTTGGTGAAAAAGTTGGCTGATAAACCTGCCGAGAACCAGTGTTGCCAAACAGCCTCTTTGTGTAGGATTTTATTTAACTTTTTAAATAAATTGACTAGCTATTCATGTATTATTTCCATTATTTGCGATGGAGCCAAAGACTCACTATTTTTTGGCTTGAGAATATGATGGCATAAAGAAAAATGGCTTACTAAACTGTTTGTGCTTCTTTGTTAATAAGTTTTAGTGCAAGGACAAGATTGCGTACATCCGACCCCCTTACCTCACCGAAGGTATGAGAGCCTTTGCGGCATTAGGTAATGATAATGATGATGAACTATTCATGTTTTGACTTTTGTAGTTTCACATAATTGCTTCTAAATTTTATGTAAGTATTTCACCTCCCATGCAACACACGGGTGTAGTGACTAGTTCTTCTTCATTGCCCTACATATTCTATTATTCTTTTCTTGTATTGGATCACTGTTAATCTGTTCAGTGTGCTTTTTTTATTCTTTCCCTCCACTGTTAGGCAAAACTGCTAACCATACTTTGTAGTTTTATAAAATTTAATGTAATGAATATAAAAAAAACAGTTTCATTCAATTTTTTAAAATGAAGTAGAAAAATATAATAACCCACTTTTTTGTCTTACTAAACTGATTTTCTCCAAACGCTGAACTTGACTGTTTAAGATGAACAAATCACACTACACAAAATAGTGCAGAGTTACTTTTCCGCTGAAATGGAAATGGAGGGATCATCTTTTGGATATTATACTTCTAAATTTCTTTAAATTACAATGTGAATAAGTATTTTGTAGATAAACAATTTTTCATCCATAGATGGATGTGCAATCTGTGCGGGTGATACTCATATTGGAAGATATGCTTAGAGCATGTGCTTTGGAGTTCCAACGAAGTTAGGACAAACATTTAGCTCTAGTGGAGTTTGCCTATAACAACAGTTATGAGGTGAGTATTGGCATGCCTCCATATGAGGCATTGTATTGGAGGAAATGCAAGACACCTTTGTGTTGGGACGAGGTTGGCGAGGCCAAGCTCGATGGGATTGAACTTGTCGAGATCACCAAGGTTAAGGTGAAGATCATTCGGGATAGACTCAAGACTGCCCAAGACCGGCAGAAGAGTTATGCCACAAACGGCGAAGGCCGTTGGAGTCTAAAGTCGGTGATAAGGTCTTCCTAAGGATTTCTTCTTGGAAGAGTATCATCCAATTTATATCGAGGGGAAAACTTAACCCCCAATACATTGGTCCATTTGAAATCCTTGAAAGGATAGGTGTCGTGGCATACCGTCTCAAGTTGATCGACACCAGAACTTGAGAAGATTCACGACGTGTTTCATGTATCAATGGTCAAGAAATACATACGAGATCCGTCTCATATTCTTGAGAAATCACCGGTAGAGATACGTGAAGACCTACAATATGCAGTGGAACTGGTGAAGATTGTGGGGCAACAGGTGAAGAAATTGAGGAACAAGGAGATTCCTCAACAGGTGAAGGTTCTTTGGAGGAGTGATCGAGTCGAAGAAGAAACCTGGGAGACCGAGGTCTCAATGAGGGAGCAATACCCGTTTCCTTTTTATTAGACACGTGGATTTCGGGGACGAAATCCCAAATAAGGGGGGGGGGGGGGGGGGTGAACTTGTAACACTGTCCCTAATTATATGTACTTGTAAGTAAATAATGTATTGAACCTTATGGAATGGTTAATGAATTTACGGAGTTGTAAATTTTTATTAATTCTTGGGAAAACTGTCAAATAGGTCCTCGAACTTTCATAAAAAAGTCAATTAAGTCCTTCTATAGGAGACTCTGTCCGGTCGTCGCGATTTGGGACGGTTCCCGGTGGAATTTTTTGATGAAATTTTTTGAGCATATTATTCATCAAGTCTAGTTTACTCATACCAAATTTCAGCTAAAAATTCAATCGGGAGCGCATCCAAATTAATTCGAGAACGCAAAAATGCGCAGTTATCTTCAAGAATTAATTTGAATGTGTTCCCGATTGAATTTTTAGCTGAAATTTGGTATGAGTAAACTAGACTTGGTGAATAAGATGTTCAAAAAATTTCATCAAAAAATTCCACCGGAAACTGTCCCAAATCGCAACGGCCGGACATAACCTCCTATAGAAGGACTTAATTGACCTTTTTATGAAAGTTCGAGGACCTATTTGACTGTTTTCCCTTAATTCTTTCGCGTGAATAGTAAATTTGCACGTGGGGCCCACACTGGGAGCGGGGGCCTCCTGATATTACCGAGACCATATATTTTATTTATCTTGGTCTAGATAATATTTATATGGTGGTGGAAAGGCCCAGAGTTGACCGATTGGTCAAAAGAGGCCCAAATACCGGTATTGGTAATTTAAACGATAATGGCCCGAAATGAATTTCGGAGGCTTATAAATCAAAGTTGGGGAATGTATATTCATTATAAAGACCAAAATGATTGAGAGCATGTAATATATTTTATTTTACCCGATAAAATAAAATATAATTAAAACAGTCCGAAAAATAAAACTTTCGGGACCGATTGTACACTGTGGGACAAATTGGGATGACCTCCCACATGGGTGGGGGCCACCCCACGAATTTTTCAACCCAAGAGGGATGATTGAGTGCTAAGGGGGATGAAGGACAAGTGAAAGGATGGGAGGAACACCTTTGACACCTAGTGGACCCCCATTTCTTCACCCATTTGCCAAGAAAGACATAAAGGACTATCCTCCCTCCTCTCCCACTCATTGAGTTCCTCCAAGGCACACCAAGAGAGGAAGAAACCTCTGCAAACAACCATCCTCCATAGATAATTCGAGCTCAAGCAAAAGAGTTCCAAGAAGAAAGATTAAAGAAGGAAAAAGTTACGGAAAAGTGTGAAAATTAAGGTAATGACTTTATCATAATGTTTCCTTTATTTTTCTTCTATCATATAATATATATATCATATGAAGAAGCCTTAGGATTTTTCTACATGATATGATTGTGAAATAATGGGTTGGAAAGTGGTTCTATGTCTAAGAACGGACTTAGAGGCCAAAACGACCGGTTCGCCGGAAAATAACCTTTTATAGGTTATTTGTGTTGATTAAGGTTTTATGATGTTAAAACCTTGTTAGGAACTTGATTAAGGTATTTCAAGGTCTTTCACAAAGTTGAAAGGGTCGCCAAAGTTGTCGCCGGAGTTCGTCAAAAGTCACCGGAGTTTCGCCGGAGTTCAACCGAGGGGTAGAACTTCGTAGCGCTAATTCGAGGTGAGGATGACCGACTATATTGTTTATAATTTTTGGGTTAATTTCATAAGATTATCAAAATGAAATGAAATGTGTTTAGCATGGATAATTAATGATTAAAAATGCCTAAATGAAATTATTATTGTTTATAAGTAAAGGATACATAATAAACAAATTTATGAATAAATTGTGTATAATTATGTGTTATGAATATGATAGCATGATGGTTGTATTAACCATGAAGTATATTGTGATAAATATACTTTTACCCTATGTAAAGAAGTCATGAAAGGATAAAAGTGATATTTTGATATTAAAGCCAATTTTAGATTTGGATGAAGAATTTAATTGAATGAACAAACTACTATGAATTAAGAACTTGGTTATATTAAGGTCAAACGACTAGTATAGAAATACTAGTCGAAAATGTTAGTTCGATTATTCATTGGAGCTAATTCCAAGATATTGAATTGTGGTGAGTATGCCCTAAGTAACCTTAAGAGATATTTTTAAGATGGACTTTATACACTCCAAGTTACATTAGGAGTAGACCTTAAGGGTTACTCAAAATGAATGGAGTCTAGGCTAAGAAATTGTTTAGAGATTAGATGACATGACTATCAGCCGAGCTCTAGCACAATGTAGTATGACTATGAGCCGAGATCTAGCACAATGTAGTATGACTATGAGCCGAGCTCTAGCTTTATGTAGTATGACTATGAGCCGAGCTCTAGTTTTATGTAGTATGACTATGAGCTGAGCTCTAGCTTTATGTAGTATGACTATGAGTCGAACTCTAGCTTTATGTAGTATGACTATGAGCCGAGCTCTAGCATGAAAGAGCGTGATTAAGAGTGGGGGCTCTAGCGCGTGAAATGATATTAAATGAACGTGCTTGAACTATAATGTAATAACACTCTAGATTGAAGGGTCTTACAAATTGAAACATTGATTATACCTAGTATCAGGGCCGGCCCAGGGCATGTCTGCCAAGTGCGACCGCACAGGGCCCGGATTTTTGAAGGGCCCAAAAAAAATTAGTATTACGCCCCAACCCAAAATCTCCCTGCGTAAATCTAAATATGCTTGAAGAATGTCCCTTTTTAAATAAATTGTAAGTTATTAATGACTATTTTTATCATTACATTTATTCGTATGTTGTATTTTAAGACAATTTGCTTGTGTTGCAACTTGAAAAAAGGCCCAAATATTATTCTCGTACCGGGTCTACATTTCTTCGGGACCGGCCCTGCCTAGTATAGTTGTCATTGTACTTTTCAAATGCTTCAAAGTAATGACCTCCCCTTCACGGGGGAGGCCACCTCATGGTTTCAGGTAGAACTTGAAGGTTGCTACCATCGCCGTTGCTTTCGAAAGAATCCGAGGAGAGAAGACGTGGTTCGTGCTTCCTCCGTTCCCATTTTAAAAACAATTACATTTAATGCTCATGGATATTATTTTTCTGAATAACTATTTGAGGGCTTGCATGCCTAATTTGCCAAGTGTAGCCTAAACACTTGTACTAAATGTTTCCGCTGCTTTAATGAATAATTTACATTATGTTTGTTTATGGATGTACTACGTGTGAATGATATTCCATACGTCTCATATAGCATGAATGTGTTGAATTGCGGTTGACTATTCGTATTGTACGGCGGGTTTTTGACGTGTCAGAATAGGTCTGGGGCGTGACAAGAGAAATTAGGAAGAGGTTACAACTGACTATGTGATAATACGTACAAGTAATATATTAATAATACACATAAATAAATGACTAAAGTTTATATCTAATGCCCTTATATAATTAGGCCTTATCCACAACAAGAGATGAAAATGACAAACTTTCAATTACAAGGAGGATTCTTGATGACCAATTATAACCTCACAACAGCATGTATATATACTCTACAATCCACATAGAATATACTAATTACTACTAGTAGTATAGAATGTTTTAAAAGGCGCTAGGCGCTAGTCGGGTGCCAGCCCAGCGCCTAATCGGCTAGGTGGGCGCCTAGGCGGGGACTGGTCGGAGACATAAAAATTGTAGTTTTATCAGTATATTTGCATAAATATGATTAGTAATGTTGTGTTTGTGTGTGTATAAAAGATACACACACATATACACATTAATATGCATGAATGATAGTGTTATCACATTTAATAATATATTATACCTACTTACTTACTCCCTAGTAGCTTTCTTCTTATGCATTGTCAAAGTTAAATGTACATAAATCTCTTAGGATACTAAAATAAAAAAGCAAAAAAATGTTCGATGAATGTAGACGCCTAGGCGGCCCATTAAGCGCTCTAGGCGGGCAACCGGGCGTCCTAGGCGGCCGACTAATTCACTTAGGCACCCGACCACCGCCTAGCGCCTAGGCGGGGACTAGTCGGGCGCCGCCTAGAGCGATTTTTAGAACAGTGGTAGTATATAATTTGATGTGTAATTAAGTATATACACTAGGAGGTGTAAATTTGTGTGTGTATAAATATATACGTAGTATAAAAATTATTTGAGTCATTATTATACACGTGAATGTTCATCTTCCCTATAAAAAACACATATTATCAAATTGCATACAATATTAGTGCTAAACCATGGTCTAGATGACATGAAATCCAAGCAAGTTATATTCATCTCGTATCAATAATCATTGTATAAGTGATCAAGTGATGTTTTACAATAATCACTCCGAAAAATCTGCTGACATGGTATGTACATACGAGGACACGTGTCGAGCTGCAATCACCCCGCCCTCCATAATTGAAGATCTAATCACCATATTACGTCCAGCTAATTAATAATGATCAAAGGTTAAGTGAATCATCGTTGCATGTTAGCATCAGCGAAGAACAAAGTGTTGCACATATCGTAGGGGCCGGGAATGGGGCCGGCTCCCGACGGCGGCAGGCAATTGGAGTTGAAACTCCGGCCGCCGGCGCCGGTGCCCTGAGAGAACGCCGTGGGGTAATTAGGGTCGTAGAGGAAATTATGTCTTGTGGTTACTGATGTCATGTCAACCATTGGATCATCTTCTTGGCTGCCCATGGACGATAGAGATCTCGTTGCCATGTCACCAAAATCATCGTTCTTGGCAAATCTTCCCCTCACCCTTGGTCTGCTGTCGGCTAGTGTTTTTCTGCATGCATACTGCAATTTGTAGATTTCGTGTCATTAACTTTAGTGATTTAAGTATAAAATTTCTTAAATAGAATTGAAATAATGATAAATTTCATAAATAGGATTATCTTTGCCTTTTTTTTTCAAAATAAGACTCATGATTCACTACTATTTGGGACGTTTTAATCAACTTATATTTTTAATATAATAAGATTATACTACGTATATACATACCGAGTAAGTCTTTTTTA